TATGTAACCTAGCGGGCACACTTCAATAGCTGTAATTTTAATCCTGGGTCCCCCAGCCTGTGGGCGGAGGATCCCATTCTGCCTGGAATGAAAGAGGCCTTGTTCTGTTGGAGGCCAGTCACATCCCCCCAACCCCCGTTTCTCTTCTGGAGAGAATTTCAGAACTACTGAAATAAGGAAATAATGTCACTGCTATGTACCAGTACTGGAGATTTAATGTGCTATTTGATGTAGTGGTCCATGTTGTTTTGCTTGCAAAATTGGCGTAGATTATCTTGAATTATATGAACTGTTAGAAAAGCAGTACCAACAAATGACTGTAATGACATTTTTTAGCAGAAAGGGAATGGGTCCGACTCGCTGCTGCGCTGGAGCTGCTATTTCTAAAAACATTTAAATAAAATTCACTGGTGATGGCACCATGGCAATCATAAAGGGTAAAACAGAAAAACCAGAGCTGTTTTCCAACCGCATCGGAACCTTTTTTTAAATTTTTTAACATTTTTATTGATACCAGAGAGGAAGAGAGAGAGGCAGAGAGGGAGAGAGAGACAGAAACATCCATGATGAGAGAGAATCATTGATCGGCTGCCTCCTGCACACCCCACCCTGGGGATCGAGCCCGAAACCTGGGCATGTGCCCTGACCAGGAATGGAACCATGACCTCCTGGTTCATAGGTTAATGCTCGGCCACTGAGCCACACTGGCTGGGCTCCATCAGAATCTTGAAGTTCAGGGAGATGCTAGGGAGTGGAATTGTGAAAATTGGGAGGGACTTAGATGAACCAGGCAAAACTGTTCTAATCCAATCTTTCCTATTTAGTTAAAATGTTATTTAAATGTATTTGTTTCAGATCTTCCTAAACACACACACAAACAAACACACAAAATACCCAGCAAGAAAATGAAAAAACAAAAACACAAAAGCTGATGTCTTTGTGCCTTTCCTCCCCGCACTGCCTCCCCTCCCTATCTCCCTCTCTGAGGCTACTTCTCCTGCAGGTGGGAGTCGGTAGGGGGAGGGAACCTTTTCCTTCTAGATTCTTTGGCCTAATAATTAATTGACCTAAGGCAGATTAACAGAAGAAAAAATAAATTTAGTTTTGTACACATAAAATTCATAGAAATATGAGATTCCAAGAAGTGACCAAAGAAACACAAAGAAACAATTATTTGTGAAGAATTGACAAAGGCACGTCCCAACTGGATGCTGTGCCAGTTGTCGACTCATGGCCCTGACGTCCAAACTTCCCCTTTGGCACAGCCCCATGATAACGGGCGGGACTCCAAGCATTCCTCCGTCACCGTGGGCATGGTGCTGAGCTTTGTCAGTGCAGGGCACAGCAGAATGGGGTCTCTTCCAGGTTGGGATGTGCTGTTCTGTACTTTCTTGCCCCTGCTGCACACTCATTGGTAGTGTGCGTGTGTGTGCATGCGTGCGCGCGCTTGCTAGTGTGGTGGTGGTGGTGGGATATTTGAGGGTGCTCTGACTCAATCATTCCGTCAGTGACACTGAAGCCAGGGCGTGGTGACCACCTCACTGTGAACCTCCCACGCGGACTCCAGGCCTCCAGCTGGCAGCGGCGACCTCGGGTGCCCCCGCCAGCCTCAGCTTGCCTCCATCACAGAAACGTACTCCCTGCTTGCAGGGTCTGTGGACTGCCCTGGTCCAGGCACTCAGGGCCCTCGCCATCCAATGGGCTGGGACCACAGCTCAGCATGCAGCCTGGGCACGGGACCCTTTTTCAAGCCTGCATTTCCCAAGTCCTCAGCCTCAGCCCTGGCACACATTCAGAACGTTCTTCTCAGCCATCTCATTACTCCCATTATAGCTTAGCTATTTTTTATAATAAATTTCTCTCTAAATCACTGTGTGGTGTCTGTCTGCTGATGGGCCCCGGGGGACAGACATCCCAAGGATGCCTTCTCCTTCCCTTATCTGAGCCTTCAAGCCTCTTCACTCAGCCTCTGCAGCTTCTTTCTTAATTTCATTCTCACTTCTAAAATCACCATCCAAATTCTGAATTCCTAACTGTAGGATTATCCACCAAAGCAGCTAGTCTAACTTTTTAAGACCGAATCTAATCATAGTTCCCCACCCTACAAAACCAGAGAGAAGTCTGCAGAGATGTTCATTCCTGCATTATTTGTGACAGAGGGGGATAAAAAAAACATCCCATGTGCCTGAGTCAAACTCACTTATGTGAATTTGAGGGGTTGTCTGGCGGTTGTGTTACACCGTAGTTTTCTTTTCTGAAAACATCATTTTTATTTGAAAGAATGATTGACAAACTATGCTTATTAAGACTTGAATGTTTGTCCGACATGATTTTAAAAAATTAACCAAGTGATCCTGCCACTTCAAAGCAAGCAATTGACAGTATTTGTGGCCATTGATAAAAAGTGAGCTTTCAAGCAAAATTTAGAATGTTGCAAAAACATGTATTCACTACCATGTACTGACAGCTTTGATTTCCATGATTTTTAATACTGAGTAAATGGGATGTTTCAACATTTGGAAGATCTGCAGAACTCAGTTAAAGAATATTTTCCGAATAGCTAATGCATGATGTTATAAAATCAAGAATGGGTTAGTGGTCCATTCAAAGTGCAAGATAAACAAATTTGATGTAACTGAGTACAATACATTCATTGATTTTGGTTTCTGATTCAACATTGCAATTAACCTTTAAGAAACTACCACTGTGGTTTCGATGTTACATCAAATATCCATGATTAACTAACTCCAAGGGCTATTAAAATAACTCTTTCTCAATTATCTGTATGAGGCCAGAATTTCTATAAGGACTTCAACCGAACATTTATTTAGGCCTCTTTCTCTCATCAATGCTTTAGTTCTCAGCGTAGTGGTCTTGAAACCTTTTACGTTATAGTCCTAGGTATTTCAGCTTGGGTGTTACCATAAATGGACTTATTTCATTTTCCAATTGTTTGCCACCAGTATTTAAGAATCCAGGAATCTGTCCTGGCTGGGTGGTTCAGTTGGTTGGAGCACTGTTCTGTACTCCCAACGGTTGCGAATTCAATTCCCAGTTAGGGCAAACACTACCTCGGTTTCAGGTTTGACCCCTGATTGGGTCGCTGTGTGGCAGACAAGCAATTGATGTTTCACTCTCTCTCAAATCATTAAAATATATTCTTGGGTGAGAATTAGAAAAGAAAAAACAAACAAACCACGTAAGTATCTAAAAGGGTCTTGAAACCAAAAAGTTTGGAATCAGTGAACAATTGTAATATTTCAGCATGAATTTTGGTGACTTAAACATAGCAAAATATAAGCTTATTTTAATCAGTGTTGAAATGATGTCCACAAATTTTTAAAGTATAGGATATTCTTTTTCTTCTTAAAGTCCTAAAATCAGCTCCCCCCAATATTACAAAGTCTAATAATGAACTTTCATGGACCTGGTGTCAACATTAACTCATACTCAATCTGATTTGAGCTTTGTCTCCACTCGCTTTTCTATATTATTCTGAAGCAAGTTCTAGGCATGATATAATTCCATCATAACTTCCTTATGTACCTCTAAACAATGTACTAGTGTCAAAGACTCAACAATAATATGGCCAAATATTATTTTCATCTCTACCCACCAAAGTGGGGGTGTTGCCCTACTATAGATTCCAGGTAATATTTTTAACCCCAAGAAGCAGCCATTGTCCCACTTCCAAGACAACCCAAATGTTCTGACCTTCAGTATATTTTTAAGAGCTCCACTTAATGTTTTTCAGCAAATATTAACTACGAAGTCTCTGAAATACAAAATTGTCAAGCAGGGAATAAATGGCACTAGGGTTCATCTCTCGTTTGGGGGGCTTCTTGGGTCAGTCAGTTAAAAAGGTTTCCAAGGCCATCTAGGATTGGAGCTTATTACTGAGCCCGCATGGGCATGGGAGAAGGTGGTGGTGACACAAGCAGATTCTTGTTCTCATGAGAGTCATTTTTGTGACACTTCCAAAGCCTAATGCTCCCTCATTTTGGTCTCTTCAGTTTTACAATAATATGCATAAATTAATGAGTGTTTTATTAAATATATTTTTATTGATTTCAGAGAGGGAGAGAGATAGAAATATCAATGATAAAGAGAATCGTTCATTGGCTGCCTCCTGCATGCCCCTCCTCCCCCCCTGCATTCGCCCTTGACCGGAATTGAACCTGGGACCCTTCAGTCTGTAGGCTGACGCTCCATCCACTGAGCCAAACCAGCTAGGGCTTAAAAAACATATACAGGCATGCCGGAATGGCCATTTACTAATTATAAGTTAAAATTTTAAAAGGCTTATATTCATTAATATCTGCTGACCCAAAAAAGTTCAGTCAAGTATGGCTGTTGTCATTTATGAAAATAACACAAGGACAATACCGTTAGCTGATAGCACTTTATTACCTGCCCTCCTGCCACCCCGCATCCAGTGAGACAAAGTGTCCATAAAACTAGAGTATATTATCAAAGGAGATAAAAAATACTACATGGCAGGAATCAGAAGAATAAAGTAAAATCTTACAAGCAAAATGAAAGACAATACTAACTCCTACCTCCCTTCCTACTCCTTCCACTTCATGGGCATCCCGCCCCC